TCAATAGAGGGGATTAATCGAGAGAGGTGAATTATTCGAGTAAGGGGAATTATTCGAGTAAGGGGAATTAATTGAGTAAATACGGTAACCGTCTTAAAAAAATTTGGCGTTGCGCATTTTTATTTTGCTTATCTTTGTGCATAATACATATAATATTTAAATGACATTAATATATTTTTATTCTAGAGGAATGAAACAATTCTTTAATAAGGCATTAAAACACAAAATTATTTCATAGTATTTAAATTATTTCATAGTATTTAAAAATGCGAACTTCCGATCTCAAAATTACTGCGTCTCCATAAACTATACAAGATTTTTTCCAAGATTGTCTATCCAAGATTTTTTTGAAAGATTTTTTGCCACTTGTTTTCCATTTTTTGAGATGTTCAAGCTGAAATTTTCTAGATGGTAAAACAATTTTTAAAAGGCGGGTATGACCATTATTGGGTGGGTTAGACGAACGTCCCATACGTAAAAAACCTGGGTGCGCACTTAACACCTACCGAGTCGAGTAGGTTTATTATTGCAACTGAATCATCAGAAAATTTATTCAGATGGGGTTTTTGTTGATTCTGTAAAACCACACACAACAATACTTCTTTCACGCTCTAACTCTTCTGCAGAAATAGTTTTAAATTTGTTGACCTGATAAATATTCATATGGTTGTTTTTCTTGTTGTTTTTCTTCAAGTGAATCTATTGATTTACTAATTAGGTCAAATTGTTCAGTTAGAGTTTTAATAAAGTTTAATAAAATTGGAGTTTGCTCCGTTGTCAGATTTGAATAAAAGTATTGATTATTTTTAGTGTTGTTTTCACCAAACTGACTTGACAATCAATAAGAAAATTAAGAAAATTTGAATTTTCGTTGCTGCTGCTATTGTTGGAGAGACGCGAAACATTAGCCTCTGTTGCTGTTTTTTCTTTTTTTCTTCCTTGCAGACATTATTTGCGACATTTTTTCCATTACTTTAATCTCTTAACTTAAACTTGGGTAATTACGCATTTTTCATTCATTTCTTTGAATTTTTTTGCGTTATGAGAGGCACACTATTATTTTTATTTTTCCATTATAGTACTCGCTGAAAGTAAAGATTTTTCTCAAATCGAAGTTTAAATGTCATAAAAAGTTTCTGCTTTTGAAAACTTTAAACATTAAAATAAATTTTTGGAAAATTATTTATTTTAATTAATGCAAAATTTCAAAATTAAAAATTATTTTATTTTTTTTTGTCGAAGAAAGCGGTAAATATATTAAAGAAATTTTAGAGAAAAGTGCAAATTAATGACATGAGTGTTGTTATTTTTAAATGTAAAAGACCCCCCCCCCTTCCCTCATCCTTTCCTCTCCTCATCCCAATATATGGAAAAGTGGAATGAAGCGGGGATTCTAAAAAGGGATTTTTTAATTCTTTAATAAGGCATTAAAACACAAAATTATTTCATAGCATTTATTAGCATTTCTTAAATTAAATATTAAATAAATTAAAAATTAATTTAAAAATATTTCTCTGGCTGAATATAAAAATATTTTATTAAAATTAATAATGCTACTTTCATTTATTTCAAATTTTTCTGCAATTTTTATTTGCGTTTGCTATGGAAAAATTAATACTCGTCCCTGCGTACGAGCTTACCGTATTTACTCGATTAATTCCAATGGGGAATTATTTTTTCAACCCATCCTTAGCATGGGGAATTATTCATGGGAGGGGAATTATTCGAGTTTTTAAATTTGAACATATGTAGGGTATTTGGGGGAGGGAGATTATAGTTTCAACTCATCGTAGCATTGGAAATTATTCGAGTATGGGGAATTAATTGAGGGAGGGGAATTATTCGAGGGAGGGGAATTAATCGAGGGAGGGAAATTAATCGAGAGAGGGGAATTATTCGAGGGAGGCGAATTAAGCGTGTAAATACAGTAACCGTCTTAACAAAAGTTGGTGTTGCGCATTCTTATTTTGCTTATCAAGTGCATAATTAATATTTAAATAACATTAATATATTTTTATTTTAAAGAAATGAAATTGTCAACTAGTTTCATTTTTCTATTTTTAATTTGTATTTTATTTGATTTAAATAAATGTCTGAAATCTAACAAAAACAAACTTGGAAAAAATGTTAAAAATCAAGCTACTGCCAAATATGCTGCTAGTCGGATCTGCAAAAATTATTGTGATCGAGGCATTATTTTGCAAAATGGAGGAAAAGTTATTTTGACTGAAAATAATTTGAAACGTCCTAAACGTTCAACTCGCGAAGAATTAAAGTCGAAGAAGAAAATGAGTTGGAGTTGGCTTAAAAAATTGTGTTCATGTTTCGGTCTAAATTTTTATTTATATTAACTTGATTTTCACAATTTTCTAAAATAACCCTATTGACATTTAAAGAAAATTATAAATTAAAGTTGATGCTGATTTGGATGAAGCAATTGCACGATCACTTGGAGATCAGCAACGTTACCGGGAACTACATAATCGACCTGTTGCAATTAGAGGCACTTTTTTATATTATAAAAAATTTTATTTAAAAATTTTTAAGATCCCCCGTCTGAAAATCCGCCAATTCATGTACCACCACCACCTCAAAATCCACAAGATAGAGAAAAAACTCCAGCCATATATGTGGAAGGAAAATCCTCATCTTCTGATGATAATGGTGTATTTGTTAAAGATAAAGAAGGCAAAAAACGTTTTGTTGGAGAAGGTAGTGGTCAACAAGGTGGTTCTAGCCACGGTGAGGGAGACATTAGCTCTGGAGCAGAGACTCCAACTGTCTGATGTGAACCAACGTCCCCGGTGACGTCAGTCGAACACTAGCATCCAGTATGCCCGATATTTGATAGTTCTTTCTGCTTCTATTTATTTCTAGGGTTCCTTACAATCTCTTTACTATTTTCACCATGCTGACAAAAATAGTATCCTCGAATAATTACCCTGAGTAATTATTTTTTAAACTCTCTTGTTAATTGAGGTGATTGTTCGAGGAATGGTGCGTAATTAATTGAGTGAACAATTATTAACTTCTCTTGATTCTTATTAAAGACACTTCTAGAAAATCTTCTTTAAGTTCAATTATAACATTTTCTTATCAAACATTTATTTAATCTATTACTGTAAAAAACTAATTTAACATACATGGTCCTATCTTTTTTACGGTCTAACAAATGAATACTTTTCTTCCTTACAACTTTTTTACCCACATATTTTGTCTTTTTTAGACTAATTTTAATTATATTGTTCGATTTATTACTTTTAGATAAATTAAATATAAATAGCTGATTTAAATAGAATGTTAAATATGATTATTAACATTTGACAGATAACAAACTAGCAATTCAGCCTGAATCTACTTAGTTTAAAATAGTTTTAGTCATTATTGTAAGGATTAGTTCTGATTTAAATGATAAATAACGAGAGAGGAGGCAAAACTTTTGGTAGGGTAGCTCAGTTGGTTGAGCTCATGTACATGTTAAAAGAGAGTTCCTAGCAATACGGACCATTAGATTTAAAAGGTTATAAAGTTTGTTCGCTTGTACATAAATAATAATGTTTATTTGGGATAAAGGTTAACAAATGTATAGAAAATCCGTTTATTTCAATAAAAATAAATTTGACAAGTATTGAGTATATTTTATTGTTTTAATGACTTTATTGTTGTACTTTTCCATATTTTTGCCTCAATGCTTGATATTTCTCTCCTGAACCAAGCATCATATGTGTAGAACAAAACCAAATTGGAGACCTTATGTTACACATAAATTGTAAATTTGTTAATCCATCATCTCTAGAACAACATCCTGGAGTTAATTGGCAATCACAAACAGCACATGTGAAGCAACTTTTGTGCACTAAAAACGATATCTTTTTTACCAAAAAAATTGAAATTAATGAGAATTTTTTGTTTTTGTAATGAATTTTTATGTTCTACATATGCAGAAGGGGCAAATTTATCAACATTTTTGTGGTTAAATTTTTCCTTGTTTTTTACTTTCTGGACAATTCTTATAAACAGATTTTTATTCTAGTTGTGTTTAAAAGTCAGTAAATATATTTACGGCCTTATAAACACTTAATTCTTAGGTTAGGGTGAATTAATTTAATCTACAGCTTTTTTAACGCTTGATTTTATCGTGTGTTTTAAAGAGCTGTAAACTTAGTTTTAAATGAACTAAATACATAAATATTACAAATTTTGATTTTTCTGTTTTTAATAAAATATTTATTTAACTCACTAGTATACTTTTCACATTGCACTTTGTCTTCAAACACACCGATCCAGGTTCGACAAACGTGACAGAACTTGGGTGTTGGGCTTGTTCCGAAATTCATTTTTTTGGGGATTTTTCGGCCAAATTTTAATTTAAAATTTTTCGAGTGAATAATTTAAATGACTAAAAGTTTGTGTTTTAAATTAAGAATTTTTGGACTTTTTTCTATCTTAATATATCCACTCAAAAATTCAACACATGTTTTATAAGTTCTTTAAAACCGGAATTAAATGAACATAGTCCAAAAACCTCATAAATAAAAAAATCTTTGACGAAAAAAGACGGAAATGGTGACAAAGCATATATTTAGGAGCACATGTCAACTTAAAATTTTTAAAGCTAATGATGGAGTGAGAATGAAGGAATTCTATAAATAAAATATTTATCATCTACAATTGCTTTTCTTAAACAACTTTAAATTGATTTATCCCTGGCTAGAGTTGAAAATCAAGATCCGGATCCTGCTCTTTCTGTTTGTTGGGTCTGATAAAATTACGATTTGGAATGAGTTATCTTTTCATTCTTTTTATACTTAAATCTAGGTCTTGGATATGTTACAATTTCTATCTGTATATTTCTTCGCTCTTAACATTGAGAGACATAAATTCGAAAAGAGATGCCTGAAGAGAGTCTTTATCTAAAATACAGAAAAAAATATTTAAAAATGATTTAATAATTAAGACATTTTTCTTTATTTATTTAAATTTATTTATTTTTTGCAATTTCATTGGTTATTCATTCTAGACAATTTTTCTCTCAACATTTGGCACTTTTCTCCCGAACCAAGCATCATATGAGTAGAACAGAACCATAAAGGGGAACGCTTATCACACATAAATTGTCTATACATCATCCCATCATCTCTAGAGCAACTTCCTGGTTTTAATTGAATATCACAGATGGCACATTTGAAACAACTTTTGTGCACTAAAAATATGAAAATTTATTTAGAATTGTTGGTTCAGTTTTGTTTAAGTTTTTTCTACCCTAATAATGTTTGAATGTTCTGTAATCTGAAGGTGATTGTTTTGAAATTATAATTTAAGAGGAATTTTAATTATAATTCAAAGTATTAGTTGGTAATTTTAAGTTAAAAGGTTTTGAACTATAATTTATTAGAAAAATTTAAGTTTGAATCCCGAAAGCTGAGATCATTATACGTAATTCCCTGTGATTGATCTCTAGAGCAAAACCTTTAGGTCGTGAATCCCTGTGCACGTGATTCCCTATAGTGGGGATATTAGTCTTACCTTTCAATATATAACGAAAGGTGTAAGTTGGATCTGTCTTGATCTTCAGTTTGTTAAACTAAGGTGATAAAGATTATTGACAACATCTACTATATTCGCCTAGAAAGTAAGTTTCGTTTGGCGATAAAACGGAATAATACAAGAAAAATTAAAACAAACTAGTAAATTTTTCGCATTGTACTTTGTCATCAAAAACTTCAATCCAATCACGGCAAACATGACAGAATTTTTTAGTTGGCCCTGTACCGAAATTCATTACAAAGAATATTAATTAAATTAAATATTTTTGGTAGTTGGAATGGAATTTTATTGAATTTTTAGATATGAATGAAGTCACTCAAATTTAAACCCACAGAAAAATATATTAGCAATAACAGCTGTTTGATTTTAGAAAACTTTATTTTTTAAATTTACCCATAGCCGCCTACTCAGATGGAACGGGCGGTAAAGACAAAATAATAGGGATCAGGAAAATGAATGAAAGACGGCGAGTGATCCGATTTTCGTTGAACAAAGTTAGTAGAGAATAAAATTTGAATCACTCGAAATTGTTTAATATATCCGGTCTCTACAAACGAAAAAAGTTTCAACTTCAGGAATTAAATTTCTAAATTTCATTAATAAATTCATTATTGAAGACTTAATAGTACAATAAACATTATCACAAGATCTTATTATTCGTTTTAGTTATATAGAGAGGTATCACTTAAAATCTATTCATCTTCAAGTGGCTAACCAAATCTATAAAATATTTTGTATTTATTATGAAACAATTTATAAGTTGGTCGTTTTTTTTTAATTTCAATGATTAAATCTTTAATTGACAGATTACTGCATGTTTGATTTCAATTAATATTAGACAGATCTATAGATTTATTTTAAAGTCGAATTTAGAAAAATAATAAAATTAAGAAAGGATTATGTTAGAATGACATTAATTTATTCATTTTTTATCACAATTTAATAAAAATTTTTATTTATCTTTTTCTAGACTTTAACCCTCATTCTTATTATTAGACTTTACCGCAGCGACAATTGCCAGCCTTGCAAGGGAGTCCAAAACATTCATCCTTCAAATATTAAATTAATTAAATTTAAAAAAATTTTCTAGATTTGAAACAAACACCTCATTACAAGGTTGGAAATACGGCGTTGAAAAAAGTAGAGGTTATCTTAAATAGCGTGTTAGAGCTTAGACAATTCTCATACCCATGGGTGACTAAAAAATGAATCCAGTCATTAATAATAAGATATAAGGGGATAAAGGGTAAGTGGATAAAGATATAAGGATGTATTGAGTATTATCTTATGAAGGTTCAGACACATAATGTAAATTTATAAAATTATTATTTCCACTTACATTATTCCAATTGCAAGACTTTACACCACAAAATTCGGTTCTAACTTTATGAGCATTTTCATAACCATGCTTTTTATAGGCCTGTTCACATTGGCAAAGTTTGAATTTGCTACAAGCGTCTTTCAAACCTCCACAAGTCTTCGAGTCTTCATGTTTGCCTTTAATCAGAGAGAATCATTTTTTAAATAAATTTCACGAAATTACATATGAATCCGGTGCGGCATTTGGAACAGTCACACTTGCCTATTTTTGTCCCTCCAACACACTTTCCTTTAATCCCGCAATCAGCATCACTGAAGCATTTTGCACGTTTAATGCATTTTCCGGCAAAATTCTTTAAAAAATTTTATTATAAATTAGAAAAATGATATTTAGATACGTTCGGAATACGAAAGTATATTCATTATGAAAGAAATTAACTAAAGACGCCTTACAGGACGTTCTTAACACTAGGCATGACTCGAAAGATATTTGAGATCGAGCTGGACCTGGACTAAGGCCTGGGTTTTTCCTGTACCCTTAGTCCATGCCCAGGCATTTTTTGACCTTACTTGTTTGCATGGGACTGGGTTTAGGCTGGACTAAGGCCCAGAATCCGGCACAGGTCAATAAATCAAACCACAGACTTCAGGAACAAGCACAGGCTTTTCAAAAATCTCAATCTCTACAAGACATATAAAGAAATTTTTACTGGGTATAGACATTAATATTTCAAGAATAGCTGGTGAATAACTGAATTATGCAACCGGATTTTATCAAAATACCCTGTTAACGGTCCTTAACCCATTATTGAACTATAATAATTTTTAGAAACTAAAAAATAAACAAACAGCAGCAGGAGTGCTATTATTCTCTCCATCCTCTCGGAAGAACGCGACTTCATCCTCTAACCAAGTCTCATCGTGACCACTCTTAACATATCTTTCCTCTACTCCAATTACTCCAAAATTTCCAATTAAATTATACAGGGAGATAATAAATAAAGAAATTAATAAATTGGGGGTGAAAATCATTTTAAATTTATAAAGGTCTCAAATTTTATAAAAAAATTTTTAGTTTAAAATAATGAATTGAACAAACCCATGGGCGTTTATATAAAAAACTTTTGGGCAATTAAAAATATTTGCCATTTTATTTTTTAATGCAATTAATAATAAAGTTTATAAGCTTATTCAGCTTTAAAGTTGATAAAATAATATTTAAAAATTATGCAACTATATTTCATGTTCTTATAAAAATTTTTGGTGTTAATCATTCTTATTTAGTAATAAAATTTATTTTTGAAAGAATTATTTAAATATATTTGAGTGGGTTTTTAAATGTTTTTTTATTGAATTATATTTAAATGAATGTCATTTAATAATTATTTTTATTTTTTAATGGAAAATATTTAATTATGAAATTTAAAATTTTTACTTGATTTGCTCTGTTTTCGAATAATTATCCACATAATTGTAATTATTAGGGCCTGGAGTTTTAGGTTATATCGTGTATTGCGTTTAGCTTTCCTCCCAGAGCTCTGGGGTAAATTCTCTCCCAACCCGGACTTGTAGATATCCACATTTTACTACATTTTGTAAATCAAACACACTAACGATTTTTTCCAATTTATATTTAAAGAATGACAGAGTATGTATGAGAAAATATAACGACGTACAAATTTAGGTTAAATGTTTGTTAAAAAATTTTAAATTTGAAATTAAAATAAAGAATAAAGAGAGGTTACATTTAAAATAATTTTTGAGGGAATAATCTATAAAAGTTTAGAGAAAGATATATTTAAAAGTTAAAAAGAACCATAAAAACCATAAAAAAATTTGAATGATAGTTAAAAGCAGAAATATTAGAATCAAAAAAAAATTAATAGATGTATCTAACCCATCCTTCAAAAAATGACGAACCAACTATAAGGATCAGGGTGAAAGCATATGTTAATCACTTCTACGATATAAAATCTAACAATTAATATAATCTAATTTAGTATAACAAAGGAAATTACGGAAAATTTGAATGATAGTTATAGTTGAATGTTAATAAAATGTTAAAATTAAAATAAATAATAGTGTGAGGATATTTAAAATAAATTTAGAAGGAACAATTTTTTTGAAATAGCAAAAAAATTACGTGCTTTGAAAGTCGATTGAAATATCCATTAATAAATCTAGAAATTCTGAAAAAATTAAGAGAAGTGTCTAAAGACAAAAAGGTGTAAAAATGAAAAAAACCTTAAAATCGAGAAAATATCAGAAGCTATCAATAGGATTTCAAAATCATACACCCAAATCGTGGTGCGACATTTGGGATCAGAATTTTAACGACCCGACAGTTGAGGACCCGACACTTAGGGACCGACCATTGACCCATATTTGGGAACGAAATAGAATTTAAAAAATTTTTGAAAATATACTTAAAGTACATGTCGGGTCAATGTCGGGTCTCCAATGGTCGGGTCAGAAGTGTCGGGTCCCTAAAAGTTGGATCCCTAAGTTTCGTGTCCCCAATTGCGGTTCCCTAAGTATCGGGTATCAAATTGTCGGGTCCCCAAAAACTATCGACAAAAGTCGTACCCAACTGTCGAGTCCCCAAAAGTCTGTTACCCAAATGTCGGATAGAACACCCAAATATGTATCTAAAAATTAGAGTTGGACAAGCCGAGACCGATACTGAGATTCTCGGCTTTTTCCCAATATCGGTCTCGGTTTTTTCATTCTCGGTCTCGAAACCGATACCGATATTCTCGGTCCATTTCTCGGCGAGAAACGATACTGACTCAAAGACCCCAATTTTCTAGTATTTTTTAATAAAAATGAGGATTTTTGACCTTTGGCCTTCTGAATTTCAAAAAATTTTCGCCTGCGGCGCTGAAAAGAGTGAATCCTTCTTCATTTGCTTTACAAAATCCGAGCATTTCACTAAGCCCTCACGATTGAGTTCGCACGACTGAGTTGCTATTTTATCTAGCTCAACTGAGTCCCAGTAATTTAATAAAATTAAAAGGCTTAAATACAATACTGGGTTATTTGGAGGGATTTGGGTGTTTAAGGGGTTATCATTGGATTTGGAGGGATATCGAATGTAATCGAATATAATATACTTTTGGAACAGAGTGTATAATCCTTTTACCTATAAATCCTACTATTGTATTCTTTATAAAAAGGATGCTAACCATCAATTGAATAGGATCCAGATGATGAAGAGTATTTATCTGATGATTTGGATGATGAAAATAATGAATAAATTATTTTTACATGTATTTTTGACGTAAAATAAAATTTTCTGTTAGTCTCGGTCAGTATCGTTTCTCGGTCTCGGTATCGGCTCAAAATGTTGGTATCGGTCTCGGTATCGGGTTCTTGAGTATCGGTTAATCTCGTTCTCGGGGTGGCCGATACCAGTTTCGTTTTGCCCAACTCTACTAAAAATGTAGTGCAGGAAAATTGGGCTTTGGAAAATTGGGCTCCAAGATTTTTCGGAAAATTTGGCTCCAACTTTTCGGAAAATTGGGCTCCAGCGGAATTTTGAACTCTAAGAGAGAAAAATGGAAGAATGGGCTCTAGATTTTTCGGCGCGTTATTATGGGCGTTGGAGTGAATTTTTTGATTTATTCGAAAGATAACACAAAAAACAAACAACATAACCCTATGGGCGTCGGCGAGGCACTTGTGCAAAATTCCGCGCTTCGCGCGGAATTTTGCGACACGCGCCTCGCAGGAGTCAACGGTCGCTGAGTTCTGGGTCAGTAACATAAACTTATCCCTTTTTACTGATTTTCAGCTTTGAAATGCAGACCTACCCACCATTCTTTTAACATTTTGATTCCTCTTCAAATTCTTTTTATTCGCCATATTCTTCTATGTATTTACCATATTCTTTTCCCCAAAAATCACTAGTCCCTATGTCATCAT